CCTTTTCATTTTTTTTCCATCTGTCTTATTTTTTCTTTCCGTTTCTGTCATCAAATTTTACTCATTTTTATCTGATTGTGACCACTTGCTTCGTTGCCCAGCTGTTTAGATAGATGTTCTCCTTTTATCAATTTAATTTTTTCGGTTCCTTTAGACATTATTTGATATTAGCTTTGTCAACAAACCGAATCGTTTTTAAAATCGATGCCTTTATTATTTCAATATGTAAATATTATTCTTTAAAAGCGGATTCACAAATTTTCTGCATCTGTTGCGGAGTGTTCTTTTCCAAGTTCACCCTCTTACAGTGAACAGAAAAATAAATATTGCAGCCTAGATAAAATCTCGGTAACATCCGTTTATTGCTTCATTTATTACTTTATCTGTCCCATAGGTTTATCTTTTGGTCATCTTTTTGATTCGATTTTTCTATTTTTCGTCCGTTGAGTTTTCATTTCTTCATTACTAATTCTTATTCTTATTTCTCTTTCTTTTTTCTTAACTCATTCACGTGTTCTTGTATTCTTTCGTCGATTTATTCGTTTCCCAAAGTGCTTGGAATAAATGTATTGCCCTTGGACCCCTATTGAGCATCGTTGCTTGCAATATTTTTCAAAACAATATTGATGAGGGAAAAGAACGTTCTCGAAGCTTATATCCATCATCTAGTTTTCTTGCCAAAAGGCATTAACTTTGCTTCATGCTGCCTCAATCACTCTTTTTTAATCTTTTTTTCTTTACAAACAGATTAAAATCAAACAGGCAGTCAGGGGTCTGAACCATCTATTCCGATTGATTACTTTATGGAAATCCTATTTTCTCCTACAAAAATTTTCGTTTCACGTAAACATGTAGGTTTATTAGTATCTTCAAAAAGCAGATTTACTTATTAAAAATAAATACCACGTATAGTCGAATAATTCAAAACATATCAGAGACGAAAGACGAAAATGTTTGGGCGTGATGATCTCTTAATATGGTGCATTCTGGGGCGCTTAACATTTATCCAGAAAAACCGGAAATTTCTTTCGGTTGGAAAACTATTGGTACGAGTTTCGGATAGAGGTATTCCATCCCCCTCCCCCCTTTTCTTTTTGATTGTCCAGTAGACGCGTGTACCATTTTGATTAGTGACTAACATGTGTAACATGTATAAATATATAGTGACTAACAGTCCAAGTAAAAGAAAAGAAAATAATGGAATTCGTGTGTAGTACTATGTATTACGTTGACTATTCCTTCACGGGCGAAGTAAAATCATTCTAGTGATGTCCGCAACTGAGGAGATTTTTGGTAGGGGAGGGGAGGGAAGCATCCGGCTTTGATCCCCGTGCTCGGTGTCGTATGTAAGTGGAGTTTTTCGTTGGTTCTCTCCTGTGTTTCGAGGTTTGTTTGTTCTTTTGCTTCGAATTCTCCGGTTCGTCCTCCTCAAAATTCAACTCAGCTGGAGAGGAAAATCCCAGTGAATATTTTTTATAAGAAAATCCGTTGCAGTTTATTTATTTTGTTTTTGTTGTTTCGTTTTGTTTCGTTTTATTTCCATTACTTTTTCAAACAAGAGAAATTTCTAAACATGAGAAAACTCCTTGACCTTATATCCAAATGATACCATATGATTAGCTTGGCACCCTTCTGTTATATTGACACTATCACCGTCCTTCCCCGCCATTTATTGACTATACACACAATTGTTTTCTTGATTGCTCTGATTCACGTGTCAAACTTGTCATTATATGGCGAAAATGAGATTGCTTTGTTTGACCACAACACACTTGGTTGAAAAAAATCTATTTTCAAACTTTGCAAAAGAGGTGGTCTTAGAATCGTATTTGTTTTGCAAGGATAGCGCTGAGTTTGGATCAGAGGACTACACACAGGCAGCCCAATAATCGAAATTTTATTAGATTTTGCACCTGCGCCGCGCACCTTAAAAAACTCTCCCTTGCTTCGAATTTTTTTTCTCCGGTTTTCTTCCCTCTGTTAAAAATCAACGTGTGAGTTGAGTGTTGTAAATATTGAACGTAGCGGTAGTGGGTGTAACGGAGAATTGACCTCGAATAAGAGTAAAATATTATTAATACAAAGAGACGGAGTGAAAAGTAACGAAAAAGTCGGTGCTAAAAACGTTTCGCGCAACTTTTCCCAAAAAGCGCTTCGTCAATAGACCAAATAAACACTGAATTACCTTCTGTAGATAAACAGGCTATAAAATAAAGGTCCCTCTTACCAAAAAATAAAAATAGCTTTCACGTTTAACATCCTTAATGACATTATTGGCATTATTGCGTTTCCATGGTGATGAAGTATCACATACCTGTCTCATTTGCATATTTTAAATAAAATTATTACAATTATTGGATGCAAGTTCAGTTTTCATCGGTGCTACAATCCCAGAATAACAAGACATTCTTCGAATGTACCAGCTATAAAATTCATTTATTCCTCAAAAAGGATTTTTTTCGTGAAGGGTTACATGAACAAAATGAACGGGGTTTTTATCAGCTGGCATTGCTATGGTTACTGAAAGAAACAAGATTTTCCGTGCTAATTCGCAATATTTAATTTTATCAATTGGGATAATCGGATTTCTTGGATGTTTCTAGAATTTTGAAGCTTGATTATATTTGTCTAAATAAAATTTCATATCTGTTCTTTTGACTTATACTTTTTATGTTTTTAAATATTTTTTTCTTTTGTTTTTCCATTAGTTTTTCTTGTTAATATTATGCCTCATCGTGTCTATGAATCCATTAATCATTCTTTTCGTTTTTCCTTTTAATATTTATACGCTACTAGACAACGCCACGCTAATTGTAACAAACAATAGGTTACACACATCAAGGTTTCTTTAATTTTATCATATTCCCTCCCTAGGCTAATGCATCTATTAAGCTTACGTATTTTCTCTGGTGATTTCCGTCTAACGATTATTTGTCATGCTTCTCTGTGAAAGGCTATTCTTTCTTACATATAGCTTTACCAGTGCAATTTCCGGCCTCTCGACTACACTGAATTTAGTAACACTTTCAACTGATCAGTTATGCTCAAAGTATACTGCACGTACTTTGAGTCTCATAACAATGAGATTCCATCGAGTATCTTTAAATTAATAAACCAGAAGAATTGATGGTTTTCAACCATTCGTCCCAAGAGAATTAAATAACAAAAGACACGGCGGCCATGTTGGAGGATATAACAAAAGAATTCATTGACAATTCTTTTGTTAAGTTCCTCCAACATGGCCGCCGTGAAAACCATCAATTATCACCATTACTGGAAAGAGCATGAAAGAATTAGTAAAGTGGTAAAGTCTAAAGGAAATGAGTTAAAAACTCGCGATATGATTTTTGAAAAGCGTGAACTTTTGTTCATAGGTAACTCTTGACCACCAACGAACGTTTTTATACGCAATTTCGATTTTCGATTATTCAAATCTTCACGACTTGGAACTTACTTTCTTCAAACTTCACAGTTCACTTATTTTAACATGCTCTTTCCAACTATGGTAGTTGTGATTCTGTTCTCTGTGAGTTTTGGAACCACATGATAAAAGCTTATTGTCAAAGTGCTGATTTTAGAGCGTTGAACGATCTCTCCAAAATCCGTTTACTTATCATTTACGAGCTGTCAAGCAAAAGGCACTTATTTTAAGTCTGTGTTCGAAGTAAATTCACATATAAACTCTACACAAATAAAAAACGCAAGCACGATTGAAAGAGGTTTTTTCCCCCTGGCAACCGTCGAAGGTTGTTACCTGAAAAAGCTTCTCACCAAGTGAGTTGAAAGTCGCATACATAGAATATTTAACAGTTAAAGGTAGTGTGTGTTTGTTACAGTGGGTCAAATTGGAAACAATTATTAGTGAATATCTAAGGAATGTTCTGCTGTGTCTGAATGATCCCGAGGCGAGGTTCTGAGAACTTGTATTTGATCAACCAGATGCTTTATCTTACAAATGACATAACAGTGCCGTTCTAAGTGAGGGTTTACAATGGTTTTAGCAATTAGATATTTCACATGGATAGTCTTAAGGAAAGGTATTTGTAAACTGAAAGGGAAGAGAAGACGTCATGGTTGTTTTGTTTGCCTTTTTTTCGCACTTTTCATTGTGACTTGTAAAAAAAACTGTGGCTAATCTTTTCGTAAAAATGACCTAAATTGAATTTTCATGTGATAAGAATCTTTGACACATATCCTATTTTTATTAAATTTCCAAAATCCCAAACTCGTCGGCTTTCTGGTACTTGGTGCTTTATCGAATCACGAAAAACCTTCGTACTCAACCGATACACACCTCTTTTCTTTTCTCCAGCCTTAATTCGTGACTCGTCATCTTCCAAAGACCGCAACGCTCAAAATATTCCCAATACGCGGCCAAAAAAAATTAGTCTTGAAGCCAACATTACAAGCAAGATAACGTAGCCTATGATATCATTGGCCTGTTCTTAATCGAAATAAGCTTACTTGAATGTCTTAGTGAATTTATTTCATTATCACCTCAGAGAAACAAGTGCGCATGAGTGCTAATATCGATAAAACAGAGACAGAGTACGTCGTTGGCCTCTCTCATGGACAAATTATTGCTGTTTAGGCAAACGATGAATCGATTTTGAATAATTTAATGTTCGAATTTCCCCCTTATTTTATCGGTTGAGAGCAGTGCTGGCTTTTCTTTGGATACGCATTGATAAACGAACAGTGTGATATCCTTATCGCGCCAGGACATTGAGAGAAATATCTTCATAAAGCTTCATATGCCAAATATATGGGTTTTTTTAAACCGACAAAAAAAGAATGTTTGAGCTTATTTTTGTAAATGTCTTATTTACTTGACTTTGTTATGTTAGTTAAGTTAGCTTTTGGTTACCATCCTTACTTAGAAACCAATGAGGTCTCTAATCGAGAAATGTCATCTTGTCAGAAATAGATTATTGCATTTATGATTCGAATAAAATTTACATAGTTTTTCTTTCGTCCAACGTTTGCCCGCACGTCCACCTGTCCGGCAATCGATGTTTCAGTCGCTCGGGACAACCATCAATACCGTCTCTTCTCAACTAACGAATCACTCAATTCTTCACCAAAATGGCTTTTTGAAAAAAATCGTCTGATTTATTTGGTTTCGATATATTCATTCTTTCATAAGCCACATTGAAAGGTTTTTCCTTCTAGTAGTATTGCAGTTTTTCGTCTATTCCCATGTTGATATATCTTTTATTTTCATTCCCGTGGCTTTAATTCGACGGTAAAGAGCTGAATTATTGATCGTTTGGGACTTTACGAGTAGGAGAAGGCAACAATCTATTTTTATTTCCTTTATAATTCAAACCCGTCTGGAAAGCGACTGTACACTGGTTCATCATGGATGTGTTTTCAAGTTTCTTCGAGCAACAAGGATAGCGTGATGTGATATGAATGAAAGATGTATCTTTTCAGGCCAAAACAGACTCTTTTTTGACCATAACTAAGGAGTGTGTACCGGTGTTTTAGGAGCTGTAACTGGCTATCTAACGTTATGTTTTTGCGCTTGAATCCTGCATTGAAGTCAAGACCTCAGGATGAAAATCGCAGGCAAATCAATAGAGAATCCGCTTTAAACCCAGTCCGAAATCCACCATGTCGGCCAGTTAAACTACCATCGCTTTACCCAACAGTTTCATTAAATTCTCTTAACTCAAGCCCTGGAAGACAGGAAAACCTAGAAAATTGGCTCCATGTGGGCTCTAATAACCCAAGTTTACGAAGTTCGGCATCAAGTTGTCTAGGACGCGAGGCAAATAGCGACGGATCAGTAGCAAATGTGGATGACACTTGCCAGAGCGCGCCTCAGTCACCAGCTGCTGGAGGCAACAGAGTCAAAGGTACTCCAATAGTCTTAGGCGCTACCACTGTCCTGAGAACAAGTACAACAGCATTGGGAGTAGGATCAGAGTTTGCTTCGAATGCAGTTCAAAGTGTTGAGCAACAGATAGAGAGCGTCGAATGTGAGGTGAGTGTATTTGTGTTTATTGTTTATGAGCTCTTCCTTTCAAAGTACATGTATGTAATTTGTAAAACCTTTCAGCACTTACGCACTTGCTAATTCCGTGTTGCGATACATATCTGAAAAAAGGTTACCGACCCGATTTTTTTATCAACCTTCGATATTGAATCCTAAAAAAATATTTCACATGAGCTCAGTTTTATCTATAAATTATCGTTCGTCATTGTTCTTTTTCCTTGCATAAATTAATCTTTACTTTAAAAAGTAACAACTGTTTTGGACAGTAGGATTTTTTAAGCCTTTGCATGGAAGCTAGTAAGTTCGCCTGCGGTGTTTTAACTTAATAACGCATAGCACTTTGGCTCGTTCTGTTGTCATCCCTTAATGTAATTTGTGATGAAAGGGATCGCGCGTGAAAACGAATTCACGTTTCGGTTTAAACTCTGTCAACTTCAGCCCTCAACCGTTACGCCAGAACGTCAAAGTATTACAAATATGAAGTGAATGACACGATGTTGCGTATATATACTTCGTACAGATCATGGAAACTGGTCGCTAGTTAGATATTAAAATACGACAAAAATTCAAACCAGATAACTATATTACAGTCGATTCGTATGGTCGTCGTCATATGTACTTGTAAATATTTCAGGAGTTAGTCGGCCTTAATATTAATCAATACAGTTTGATGTCTAGCTTGTTTGGCATCGGGGGTTCAAATTTGCATTGTTCGACCACCAATTAACAGGTTGCACTCGAAAAAAWTTTTAACCTAAAAGTGACGCAGAAAAAAAAACAAAACATATATTTCTGGGCCGTTTTCAGTAAAACTGACTGCCTCTGTTTAAATGTAAATTTATATTGAACGTCTTATGATTTGCTGAGTTAGTAGGAAAACTTAGAAGTTGAGTTCAAGGGTATATCATAAGAATCGCAGAATATCGTGTATTTAAGAATAAAAATTTAACAAAATGTATTAATGTAGATATTTCTTTTTCCAGATATATTTTATTCTTCAGAGATTATACTTAATTGATTCTTGAACTTACTCAGTTTTTTTCTTTTCCAAATATTTATTTATTTATAACTGTTTTTGTTTGTCTAAGATAGTTTTTTGGAATTTTTCAACGTTTTTATTTTTGATAGTTTATTCCTACACAAATTGCATCTTTTCAAAATTTATTCCGTTAGTATAGCAGCTTCAAATCGAGGTTGAAGGCAATATTTTAAAATTCATTCTACATTGCCTCAATTTGGAACATTGATTCATGT